AATTACTTCAACCGAAGGTTTCCAGATGGATATGCGGAGCAAATCCATCTGGTGGAGTCAGGTTAGGGCTCCATGCTGCCCACTGCTCTGTATGGAATGGGTTAATCTGTAATGTACATTTGCAGTGACTGATAAAGTTGATAATTATCCTCATATTTTTTTGTTTCTCTGCAGCCTGTTCGTATGGAAATGCCAGTGAGGTTTCTGGAACCGTCCTCTTCGTCTGCATCCTTGTTTCTGCCCTGCTAGGAACAGAAGTCTGACTTCCAGCTGCAGATCTGGGATTAGCTATGCTGTGGATCCACATTTCCACACACTTCCTCAGATTGAAGGATTGAAAAGTCATGCCAGCCAGGACTTGTCTTGTACATTCAGATGAAAGCAAAGAAAGTGTCAGTGTTTCAGGTTTCTATCTGTAGTTTGTAGATGTTTGGAGAAACGTCTGATCTCCACCACCATGTAGCTGAGTGATGTGATGTGTTTTTGTGTCAGTTTGTGCCTTTTTTTAATCTCTGACCAAACATTTGATACAGCTTATTTTACTTGTGGTGCTATAATCTTTAGGGCTTTTAAATATGTTGATACTGTTGGTGTGTTTCTGTCTGTGATGATGATGATGATGATGACAATGATGCAGTTTACTGACCTGAAGGTTAAAAAAAAGAAGAGTAAAAGTAACACAGGAGATAAACTGTAGAAAAACATTTTTAAGATTTCTACCTCTGAACACAATAAAAAAAAACATAGTCTGGGTAGAAAATAGATGTTTGTTCCAATAAAACTCCTCTGTTTGTGTAGGTGACGTTTTCAGCCACAGGGTGGTGCTGTTCCCTCTAAAACTAAATGCTGCCTGAAGATTTAAAGGGAAAAAAGAGAAACACTTGAAGTTGTTCATGTGAAAATGAGACTGATTTATAACAGCAGGGTGAATCTGTCTGTTTTTAACTGTGAAGAATAAAATGTCTGATCCAAACCGCCTCATGTAGCACCGCTTCAGTCCGGCTCTGTGAGCGGCTCAGATCCAATACCTCTTTAAAAGATGTTCTGAAAGTTAACCTGGAGGATCAGCTCTTTGGTCCTTAATGAGTTGTTAAAACTGTAACCTGGAAACCGTTTAAAGAACAAAGATGTGTTTATGGTCAATTTAAAATCAGCCTGCTGTTCATCTGTTCACCTTCATGCTTCCTGATGATCCCAGAAGAACTGAAGAAACCAGAATGGACTAATATAGGAACCTTTTAATTTAGGATAGATAGATGCAAATCAATAAACCTGTTAGATGAGCCTTTCTTTGTGTGTTTGTTACAAATGAAGAATTGGATGAAATCATTTCATGACGTCTGAAAGCCTTTGGCTACAAGTTTCAATGACAGGTTCTAGAGCCAGAATCGTATTTCTTATCCCTGATCAGATGAATATACATACATCTCAGGTGGAGATCCAGGTTCCACAGGTAGACCTGAGGTATAAGTTCAGACAGCTGATGCTGCGGGTAAAGGAACCATGCTGCCGGCCAGTCTCTGACTTCTGAACCAGGAGTTACAGGTCAACCTGAAATAAAAATGAACCTGAAAGACAACAGAGCAGCTGAGTCAATCACACGGGAACTTTTTTCTTTATTTATCTCAGCTGGTGTCTAGCCTCGTGAGACCATCCTGATCTCGCGAGCTTTCAAGATTTCGCTCGCTAGTCAGTCTGGAGACTCTCTGTTAAAGAAAATTGGGAGCCGTTCACCCAAGGAACGTCCAATCAGCGTTGGCTTTGAGGCGGGTTGAGGTGTGACGCAACGAGAAGCGCGACAGTTCAGTCTATAGAACATGGCGGCTTCAGCAGGGGCGGATTTACCATTAGGCAAAACTAGGCAGTTGCCTAGGGCCCCAAGTTCCTGGGGGCCCCATAAAACTCCTTTTCCATACAGCTATTACTTATTTGTCCACATTAATTATGTTTTTAATAAAAATCCCTTAATTAAAACGCCATCAGAATGCTTATAATATTAAGTGTGTCTCAGGCACAGGTGTATTCAGCGACTTTTCAGACCCCTCTAGTGCTTTTATTTCAAAAAAGCACCTAGCGCCACATCTAGTGCCTTTTTTCTGCTACTGGAGACTTTGGCGACAGCATATAAAAGCAGCAAACTCTGCTCTCCAGAGCAAGTAGATTGGTACCCCGCCTCCTGCTCTCCTCTATCTTGTCTGCTGTCATGATTCATGCAGCTATTATTTCATACAAATGAAAAATGGAGAACAGAGAAGCAGATCATGGCTTGTCTACAGTGGAAAGAAGGACTGGGTTATTTGCTTTTGCTGCCGCCTTTTTGGAAACACAGGAAGGAGCAATCGGTTAAGCGAGCTTAGTTTCATTCCTTTTGAAACGACATGAAAAGTCAGCTGAGTACAAAACAGAGGAAAACAAGAATAGGGACAAAACGTTGAACAAATAATGTATGTCTATTATATTAAAATTTATGTATCTGTGGGTCTGTTTTATGTTTTGTCTTCTTAATTCAGAGGGCCCCCTGCCTGTCTTTGCCTATAGGCCCCAAATTTCCTAAACCCGCCCCTGGGCTTCAGCCGATGAAACTAGCGTTAGCGTGGCTATCGAGCAAGTTTTATCGGAATTACAGAGTATTTCTTTACTGAAAAAAGAGCAAAACACTGCTCTGGAGGCTTTTCTCAGAGGAAAATATGTTTTTGTTCTTCTCCCGACTGGTTTCGGCAAGAGTAGCCTGGCTGTTAGTACGTCATATGCTTCGTTGATCTGATTGGTTTATTTGGCCCGTCTATCACCAACATAGGCCAATCAGCTAACCAGTATTTTCGCCCCTTCCCAAAATTACTTCAACCGAAGGTTGATTTGCTCCGCATATCCATCTGGCGGAGTCAGGTTAGCTGGTGTCGTATTTACTGACAAAAACTGAAATCGGGTCTGAAAATGTCCAGAGGGAAGAGACAGAGAAAGTTTTTTTTTTTTTTTTGTCTTATCTGACTCAGTTACACTGCAAAAAAATCTAAATCTAGATAAGTAATTTTTTCTTAAAATAAGTGCATTTGTTCTTGGATTGAAGAGGTAAAAGAGACATTTTGCCAGTGGAACAAGACAATTTAAAACAACTTAAAATAAGAAAACCCAATTGCATTGTCTTATTTCAAGTGCATTTTATCTAATTATCCTATTTTAAGAGTATAATTACTCATTCCATTGGCAAACTGTCTAATTTACCTACTAAAATTACGGGTGAATACACTTAATTTAAGACATTTTTACTTATTTCTAGATCGTTTTTGCAGTATATTTATGGAAGAGGTTCAGAACAAGTAAGAACCGAACACAAACGGCAGTTTTAGACCAAACTTGGAGAAGAATAATTCAGCCTTTAAAAGCTCCATAATCATGGAGAAGCAGCATTTAGTTCCTATGCTCCATTTATCAGGGGAACAAACTCCTAGAAGACTGTAAAAGTGTTGAAAGCCTGAGTTGTTTCAAATCAAAGTAAAGAATTTGTTTATAAGCTGCCTTTGACTGTTGCAGTTAAATAGTTAACTGAGTTTATATTAGTTTAAGCTTGTGGTCCAACTGTTTTGTTTTACTAATGTTTTATATCTGTATTTGCCTTTATTCTTCTATTTTATTGTCTATTTTGTGTAAAGCACTTTGAATTGTTCATGTTCTGAATTGTGTTATACGTATAAACTTCCCTTGCTTTGAGAAAAGAAGCTGAAGAAAAAGAAAGCAGAAGACGGAGGCTGATGTTCAGAAGACCAAGATCCAGAGCAGATGAGCAAAGATTCAGGAGACTGAAGTTCGGTGAACATGATGCAGACAGAGAGAAAGCTAAAGGGGATGAGGTTTTCACCGCTCTGAGGGATCTGTTCCGAAACACCTGAAGGAGCTCATCAAGGAGATCGAAGTCAAACAGAAAACTGCAGAGAAAGAGGCTACAGGCTTTATCAATGATCTGGAAAAGGAAAGCCAGAAGAAAGCAGCAGACTGATGATTTAAAAAAAAAACTGGTGCAGTGCTGGGTTGAGAAACACCTGGTGGCAAACAGGAAAAAGAAGAAGCAAAGGAAACTTCTGGAGGCGCACTGGAGAGTTCTGCAGAAGGAGAAAACTCAAGACAAACTCCAGGATAAAGTGCAGTTCAGTACAGGAGGAACTTGTGGACCAGGAGGATTAGAAGCTCAGAAGTTACCGGAGTTCAGAGGGACAACCTATTTACAATTTACCATTTTAATGAATGGACACTCTATTACTGTTTAGAACAATGTGTAGTTTATGTTATTGTAATGTCTCGTTTTAACTATGTATGCTGTTTTTATTGTACGGTTTTGTTTTAACAATGAATTTTGTAGCACTTTGAGATTTTGTTGAAATGTAAAGTGCAATACAAATAAAATTTATTATTATTATTATTATTATTATTATTATTATTATTATTATTATTATTATGTTGATGGCAGTTAATGAATGTGGCTTGTAATTCTTCCTTTTTTATTCTGTTTTATTATACTTTATTTTGATCTATTATACCTACAATCTTATTTTTCTCTCTTCTGTAAACGGATCCATTGCAAGAAAATAATTTCCCGCAAGGAATTAACAAAGTAATTCTGATTCTGGTGATGAGAAATAATCTATGTTGACTGGGAATTTATGATTATGGATAGTTTATCACAGCGTATATGCCAGACTCTATTATAAGATATTGTGCCTGTGTCTGTACCTTCCCGGTCATTATTCTGTTGATATTATTTGTGGTTTTTACAGCTTATCATCCTGAAGGAATAATAATAATAAAAAAATTGCATCCAATCATATCCACCAAAAAAAGGGTTAAGTGCGCTGGGAGCAAAGCAGAACCAACATTTTGGCTTTGGTTGGATTGATAATAATGAATGTGCAGGAGGATACAGATTTTCTGAAAATCTATTTTATCGAAATTCTTGTGAAACAGTCTTTGAAATCTAAGAATTTAGAGCTGCAGATTTAATTTCATTTTCTGTCATGCTTATCCCAAGAGGGGTCACTGGTGCCTATCTCCAGCGCTCTACAGGCGAGAGGTTGGGGACACCCTGGACAGGTCTCCATTCCATCGCAGGGCAACACAGAGACAAACAGGACAAACAACCATTCACACCTAAGGAGAATTTAGAGAAACCAATTAACAGTCATGTTTTTGGTTCATGGGAGGAAGCTGGAGTATCCAGAGAGAACCCACACATGCTTAGAGAGAACATGCAAACTCCAAGCAGAAAGAGCAGGCTTGGAATCAAACTCACAAACCTTGTTGCTGCAAGGCAGCTGTGCTACCCACTGCGCTACTTAGCAGGCCAGATTTCTGTAAAACGAATGCAAAATGGATTAGTAAAAATGGTATGAGATATAAAGTCTGGCACAAATATTGGAGTATTAAATTGGTCTTCAATTGGTCAATATCAATTTTAACTTTAATTTTTAGACTATTTAAGGAATTAATTGGTGAAATAACAAGTCATTGATATGTTACTTTTGTTTAGAAGAAGATTATGACCATTAAAAAACAAAAACGAAAAAACAGCCACTCAATAAAACAAAAAATGATTATTTCTAACTTGAATCTCAGCATTCTGACTAATTCCCACTTTAATTTTCTAATTCTGACCATAATCTAAGAAATCGGACACTAAAACTTATAATTCTGACTTTATTCTCAGTATTATTCTCATAGATAATAATTAACAGAGAGATACTTATATGGAGATATATTTATATATGTATACATAAATGTATATATGTATAAGGTAAAAGATATGTGTATGTATATATTTGTGTATACCTGTATTAATGTGTTTTTTTTGTATATAATAATAAAAATTGCTTTGCAACATGAGTACATCCTATCAGAATATTCAATTATTCTTAACCCCACTAATAATATTTAAATGCAATGAACCATTTGTTTGTTTTCAGCAAAAACAAACCAAAACGTGTCAATTAATTAAATATTCAGCGAGTAAAGTTTGTGCTTGCTCAACACATTACACTGAGCGGAGCTGTCGACCGCCCCAAGATGGCGCCACTAAAACCATGCGGGGTATGTTCATGCTCCTCCACACCAGAAGGGGGTGCTAATGTTGATATTGATATCAAGCGTTAGCTAACTGTCATGGCGGCTCCCAGTAGCAGCCGAATTTCACGGTGAGACTGTTCCCACTTCTCTGACGCAGGATGAGGTGAAGAGCTGACTTGTCTCAGGTGAGACTCGGAGCGCGAGCAGGCTACGGAAATTTTGCG